GTGTTTAGTTTTGGTGGGGCTGATGATAAGGCCCCACCTCTTAGTGGCAAGCTCCAGGTTCAGCAGCAGTGCCTCCAACTCAGATTGTACTCTTGACACCATGCAATTAACAAAGCTGGTCACCGCATCCCACGCTTTTCAGATGTGCTTCTGCGCCCATCTCGAATGCTCTTCCAATATTAGGGAGCCACTGGAGCTAAGCCCCTTCAAATCACGATTGAAAATTCATTTCTTTAGAACGGCTTTTTGTCTTTAGCTTGTTGTCCCAACACACGCACCTCTGATTAGCACGGTTGGCTAGTTCAACGTGCACAAATATATACATGCTGGATCACATGGTGATGAGCAGTGAAACAGCCCCTCATGTTGGAGAACACCCCCATGGAAGCGGATATCACAGAGCTACCTCTTGAGAGTCCTTAAAGTCACCGCTGGTGCACGCGCACACACAGGCCGTAGAGAGCAGCATTTGACCCCACTCGCACGAATGCGAGTGATGTTCTTCTTTGGTTCCTTCGGTAAGGTCACGTAGAATGAGAATAAAACAATAAAATAACACAATAAAATTCTCACGACGTTTCGGCCACAACGCAAGCAGGCCGTCTTCAGGTGAAAGGTACAGAACTGTCGGGACGACAGAGCTTTTATTCTCATTCTACGTGACCTTACCGAAAGAACCAAAGAAGATGAATCATTGCAGAGTGATGCTCGTTGAATTAATTTTGACAAAGTGGTAAATCTAATTTAAAGTGGGGGGGGGGGGGGGGGGAGGCTTTTTTGTGCAGTCATTGGTGATTTAACGTAAACCATCGTCTCACTACAGGAGTGGAAGGTGGCAGCAGCCTTTAAACGAGGCCCACTGTTGTTGCGTGAGAAATCACCTGCCGTCAACGCGACTGAACATCGATTGTCGATCTCCCGGTCTCAGGAGCGACAACGCAAAGCCACGCTAACGGCCTTCGTTAGGGCCAAACAATGCGCCAGGCAGTCCGTCTTTCCTCTCCTTGCCTCTTGGTGTCCCTGTATATGTATTTCTGCTGACCTGTACCTCGTATTTGTTCACTCTGTCTATGCTGGTGTGTTCATTCCAAAAGGATGAACACGAAATTTAGCACTCTTCTGAAATTCGTGGTCCGCCAGGCAAGTGTCTGACTGTGTCATTGGCCTGACCGGTTTTGCATCACGGAAATTTTTCCTTAGGTTTGTTGAATTATCGTCTCTCGTCTTCTTGTTGTATTTACCTCCGTGCAGTTTGGCGCTCTCTATGTGTTGCGTTGGTGTCGTCCTGTGTGCTCCCTTCGCTATTTGGTTTTGACACCTGATGAAGATCGCTTGTGTTGCGGTCGAAACGTCGTGATTGATTTATTTTAATGTAATTTTATGGTATTTCTACATACGTGACTTTACCGCAAAAACCAATGAGTAATTTATGCAGTCACGAAAGCTTCAATACTTTAATTGAGGGACTCTCCCGGGTAAAGTGCCGGTATCTCGTGAACAATAATGAACACACGCAACACCGATGTCCTGACACTCCAAGAAACACACGTCTTGGATGTCCTATATTGCCAGTGACTACCACCGTCCATGAATACAACTTCATCAAGAACCACTATCACCCGAAATATGGCTTGGCCATATACGTGAAGACCACCATAACAGAGTTCCATGCCTTCCCACCAACTTCAAAAGAAGCCACCCACACCACCAGCATCAAGACAGGGGGAGCTGCATATCACCAACGCGTACAAAGCCCCTAACTCAAAATGGCCAAAGTCAGCTCCCCCAAAGTGCACCAATCCCAGCCCTCAATCTTGGTGTATTTAATAGCCGCGATACTACGTGGGGCCGACGCAGTGAATCAGGCTGACGGTGAAGGCCTCACCGACCGGAAGCCCACCGAAGATCCGCACCTTGGTTTTCGATCCCAAGCAGCGACCGACTTTCAATTCAAGCTTTTCCGAAAGTCAACAATACGCCCATCGTCACCCACATCGCCACTGGAACGCCCGTGATTGTGTCAAAAAACGATTACCAAGGAGGGAACCTGGGTCAAAGCTGACTTGGGAGCCGCTGAACGGAGGCTGTCGAGCAAAGTGGCGAGACGAATTGCTGCTACACCAAACCAAAATGGCATCACCGTCTTCTTGTCCTCCTTACCGCATCCGCAGTGAAGAGCATCCCCCCGGGGCTGGACAGGAGAGACCCAATGACCTGCTCCGACTGCACAACCAGACGGGCAGCCCGCAGGTTGGAAAATGCCCCGCGAGTGCCTGCAGACTCAGCCAAGACACCAGCGGCGGATTGAGTGCGTTGAAGGCCCTGGGACTTCGTACACTCCAGACACCATGCCTGGGCCCCACTACGATGCTTGGCTACTGCTGATCCAAGCCAGCAGAGATGTGATTCCCTCCCCCTCCCTCCCCCCCCCCCCCCCCCCCCCCCCCCCCCCCAGAATTGCTTCCACCACTTAGGTCCTAGGGGACTCCAATGGATGGCAAAACTGTACATCAAAACAATGAAAACCGGATGCATCCCAAAAGCATGGCGGGAGGCGATGGTCATTGTCATGCTATCGCAAATAAACTCCACCTTCTTCTTTGGTTCTTTCGGTAAGGTCACGTAGAATGGAGAATAAAATAATAAAATAACACGATAAAATTCTCACGACGTTTCGGCCACAACGCAAGCGGCCGAAACGTCGTGAGAATTTTATTGTGTTATTTTATTATTTTATTCTCATTCTACGTGGGTGGTGACTTTACCGAAAGAACCAAAGAAGATGAATCCTTGCAGTCACGAAAGCTTTACATCGAAATTTAAACTCCACCTTGGATCGTTACCAACAAGACGATCACTCAAAAAATGCTCTAGAGGAGTCGGACAACCAAAGCTGCCACTGTTATCCGGTGGCCTGAAATAAATACAAAATATATAGTTATAGTTGACCGATGTATGAAATTATTATGTATTTTGATTATAGTGCGCTGCTACTGCTATTGTTAATCCGGCTGTTATGGATTGGCTTATGCATCTCGCGAAGGACGCTAGGTTTAGTGATGTGTGTTGCGTGTGTTGCTATTGTAAACTTGTAATCACAATTGTTGGGAAAAATGTTACGTTGTTTATATAGCATTGTTTTAGTAAGTTTTAGACGGGCTTGGTTTGACCCGATTATTTAGTATAGATTTATACTTACATTTTTTAAAAATCTTTATTGTATTATGATTGTTAATGGGATCAAACATCGAAATGGAATGTTTTGCACTTTTTGTACGCAGCATGGACGGGTTGCGCTTTTTCCCGTAGGATTTCGTTGTTTACGTGCTGTGACGTTTAGATTTGTGTACAATGAATTTCAGGCGTATCGTGTAAATGCATTGTCTGTTGCGATTGAACCCAAATCAAGAGCCGAATGGCTCCCAGGGTAAATCCTACCAAATGAAACTGAATACTGTCATACCCAAGGCGGGGCAAGCCAACCCGACGACTTGGCAGGCCTATAAACGACCTACAAAATTCCTGGAGAATCATCCCCCTCGTCGATTCGGTGATCCCTGAGGAACAAGCTGGATTTTTCCTGCCCAGGCACTTTGCGGCGCTGGGGCTGACTGATGTGTGTAAAAATAGACTTCTTTTTTCTTTAGACGGCTATTGATTTCTTTGTACAGACATTACTTCACTTGAGACTTAGCCCGGAACAGTTTTGTAAATCTACAGCGACGCCTACACGGTTAAGTGCTGTAGCCTTGGGGCCACATTCCATGACGTATCTCGTGGCATTTGAAGCTGCGATCGAAGTCACGTTGTTTCCTTGTTCATTGCCACCGTAAGCCATGGTGATGGTGGTGATTAATGAATCGTTACTGTTGGATGATGATGATGATTATGATGACCACCACCCACACCCCCCCCCATTAACTGGCCCTACCGGACACCTGTCAATCACTCACCACGACCTACTGACCCATCTTCAGAGCCGACCTACCCACGTGATCTCACTTCCGATCACTCTCCAGCCCTACCGCCTGCCCACCGACCCGCATCCGGCTACTTAACCGCCCTCCTGCACTCAGGCCAGCTCCATCAACCACCCACCACCCGGCCCATCATCTGCACATCCAGCCAAATCACCCACCCAGCCAGCCAATCATCCATCCAGTCAATCGCCCACCCACCCGGCCGATCATCCATCCAGTCAATCACCCACCCACCCAGCCAATCATCCATCCAGTCAATCACCCACCATACCGGCCGATCATCCATCCAGTAAATCACCCACCCACCCAGCCAATCATCCATCCAGTCAATCACCCACCATACCGGCCGATCATCCATCCAGTCAATCACCCACCCACCCAGCCAATCATCCATCCAGTCAATCACCCACCCACCCAGCCAATCATCCGCCCACCCGGCCATTCATCCGCCCACCTGACCACCTGTCCACCAAATCCAGACGACCACCAACCACCAGGACTAAGAATATTTTGCGATTCACACGTGAAGTGGAGAGACCACGAGGTAAAAAAAAAATGAACGGGTGTTAGTTTGACAGAGATTTAAGACAATTCAAAACTCTGATACTTATACACACATTTTGAAAGGCAAAAGTACAATGACACAAGCAAGATTGTCTTTCACCTTTAAAGTGGATACTTTTTGTTTTTTTACCAAGGTGTGGTTTGCTATCCAAACACTCAGCCTCACCCTAGCCGGTGCAACCAGTCCGTGGGATAAACCATTACAGTTTCCATGGTTACCTTGGTTTTTTTTTTTGGACAGATACAGGTGGAACATTCTCAGGGCGCGTCTCGAGGTATTTATAACTTAGCTGCGGGTGAAGTAATTTTATTCTTTCGTTCATCGCTGCTGTGCGAGCCTCATCAACCAGGGTCTCCTGAAAACCCCTGTGAATGATTATCAACATCTCACGAGATTGTGAACGGAAAGTATTTGATTTAAATATTTTTTTTGTTTGTTCCCGAGCCACAGGGAGCCACTAACTTCGAGTGCAGCCTCGGGCCATGGCGAGCACAGCTCCCGCCGCTGAGAACGTGGACCGTGAGTTGACCTGCCCCATCTGCCTGGACACGTTTGACTGCCCCTCCACGCTCAGCTGCGGCCACTCGTTCTGCCTCCAGTGCCTGGAGGACGCCTGGAAGGAGGCAGACTCCTACTGCTGCCCGCAGTGCCGCAAGACTTTCCCTCGACGACCCCAGCTGACCAGGAACGTGACGATCGCCAACCTCATGGAGCAGCTGCGAGTGACTGAGTCCATGGCTGCTGCTGCTGCTGATGGTGTTGTTTTCTGTGACCACTGCCCAGAAGGCCAGACGCCTGCAGTGAAGACCTGCCTGAGGTGCGAGACGTCCTTCTGCACGGAGCACCTCGCGCCTCACCTGGAGAGGGCGAAGTTGAAGGACCACGTCCTGGTGGCCCCGATTGCGAACCTGGAGCGAAGAAGATGCAAGAGGCACAAACAGGAGCTCATGTTCTACTGCAAACAGGACGTGAGCCTCGTGTGCATGGCCTGCACCATCACCGGAGAACACCGAGGGCATGACGTCGACACGCTGGAGGACGAGCATCAGACACGGAAGGTGAGGTGTGCGTGGGGGCTACCGTCCCCCGCCATCACCGAATTGCCGGGGCCGCTGCCCCCCGACTCCCCCGTTACATTCATGCTACCGCCCCCCCCCCCCCCCTCCCTGGCTGTTCCGTGGGGTTCGGGTTACCGGCCTCCGACTCCTCGGCCCCCCCTGTGCCCCTGACTGTGTTGTCGACCGCGTGAGCGCGGCTCAATTAGTGGGCTCGGAGGCTTTTCGCCTGCCACGCGCTACCTGCCCAGCCCCGTGCACCAATCACACTCGAGGGAGTTGGGGGTCCGGGGTGAGAGGGCAAGGGGGGCGTCTGCCGTGCGCGCGCCCCACGCCGATTGGAGGGAGCCACTCCCGCTCCGATTTAAAGGGCCGCTTAAACAGCCGCACGTGTGCACGCGAACGCCAGGCGCTTAGCTCTCCGCTTCGCTGTAAACATTCGCACGGGCACGCGAACGCTAAGTACTCCCGTTAACAGCCGCACGGGCACGCGAACGCGAACGCCAAGCACTCCGCCTCATTGTGAACAACCGCACGGGCACGCGAACGCAAGGCGCTACACTCCCCTATTCGCCGCAAACAGCCTCGTACGCGCGCGAACACAAAAAACGCTCCGCCCTCCCTCTTCGCACTCACGGCGATCACGACACAGTTTTATCCTCTATTAGCGGTTTTATTCCCCGCTGAAAAATATCCCGCTAAACTACGTGCGTCTGTGGCGAGTCAGCAGACCCTAACTGGCCTATCCTTCGGGAATCCTGGGCTCAATCTATCCTGCCTGGCGCTCCTCTGATCGGTTAGCCCAAGCTCACATGTCTCTCACTTACGCTGACTTCCACTCTGATGCGCTGGGAGCTGTAGAAGGGCGATGCTGCGGGTCGTCTCCGTAGAAGATCGTGCCTGGCTGCGCCGAAACTCGTCACACGGACGATCCGAAACGGCCGGCTCCAATGCTCCGTGGACTTCGATGACTGGAAGAACTCTGCCTTTACTGCCTCAATCACCTGCCTTTTATCCTACCTATCACAAAGGCATTCCGCGGTGCCTGCACTTGCTCACCCGTGCCCTTTGATATTCGGATCTATAATCCCACCCATAACAAAAGGCATTCAGTTGCTCTTGCGCACGTGCCCACCTGTCCAATCAGAGGCTGAGATATTCCTGTCCCTTTGACATTCGGATCCCTAATCCTACCTACAACAAAAGGCATTCAGTTGCTCCCGCCCCCGTGCCGCCCTGTCCATTCAGAGGCCTGGTTATTCCTGTCCCTTTGTTATTTGGATCCCCAATCCTACCTATAACAAAGGCATTCCGACCCGTACCTCCCCTTGACCTCCTGCCCAATCACAGGCCCGGGTTTTCCCGCCTTTTCCCGCCTTTTCGGTACTTTGATCTTACTCTGGTGACGTCACTGCGGTGGTTTCTCGGCCCACTGACTCGCGCTTGTGTGTGTGTGTGTGTGCGGTTCCACTCGCGGTGGCTCAACGGCCTCCGCCGTGACCACGCGACTTCAACGTCAGGTCACGGCGCCGCGGTGCTCGTCAGCCTCGGGGCTAGATCGCCCCAATTCCCCGGCTTGAAGCTTGATCCCATTAGGGGCTTCTGGATAAAAACCTGTCGGCCAGGTGACCTTCCCTCCCCATGGTCTACGTGGGGTGTGCGTGCGTTCATGTGGGGCGGGGGGGCGGGGCGGCGAGGGGCCATCACTCCCCGGTGGCGGCGTCACGGCGGTGGGCACGGCCCCGACGGAGCGGCCTCGCTGCGGCGGCACCACAGAGGCCCACGTGGGTCGAACGAGAGCTGCTCATGCTCCACACGTGGGTTGAACGAGAGCTGCTCCACACGTGGGTTGAACGAGAGCTGCTCGTGCCCCACACGTGGGTTGAACGAGAGCTGCTCCACACGTGGGTTGAACGAGAGCTGCTCCACACGTGGGTTGAACGAGAGCTGCTCCACACGTGGGTTGAACGAGAGCTGCTCATGCTCCACACGTGGGTCGAACGAGAGCTGCTCCACACGTGGGTTGAACGAGAGCTGCTCCACACGTGGGTTGAACGAGAGCTGCTCCACACGTGGGTTGAACGAGAGCTGCTCGTGCTCCACACGTGGGTCAAACGAGAGCTGCTCATGCTCCACACGTGGGTCGAACGAGAGCTGCTCATGCTCCACACGTGGGTCGAACGAGAGCTGCTCGTGCCCCACACGTGGGTCGAACGAGAGCTGCTCCACACGTGGGTTGAACGAGAGCTGCTCCACACGTGGGTCAAACGAGAGCTGCCCTACACGTGGGTTGAACGAGAGCTGCTCCACACGTGGGTTGAACGAGAGCTGCTCGTGCCCCACACGTGGGTTGAACGAGAGCTGCTCATGCTCCACACGTGGGTTGAACGAGAGCTGCTCGTGCCCCACACGTGGGTTGAACGAGAGCTGCTCCACACGTGGGTTGAACGAGAGCTGCTCCACACGTGGGTTGAACGAGAGCTGCTCAGAAGCGAACGACACCGTGACCTGAGCTGATAAAGTGCAACAACAACAATAACAACAACATCTCATTAAATCAAAACCATCATGGACGGGATGATTCTCTCTCCACCGTCTTTTTTTAATTTTTTTTTATTTCAGGCCAACTCCCTTAGCCTCTTTTTTTCTCTGTTGGGCAATTCTTGAGCCGTCACTGTGGAGGGCTCCGTGTGGAGCGGGGCTGAGAGGGAGCCGCTCAGGGAGTGGAGTCTCCTCTGGTGACTTCGTCTCTTGCAGAGTGGAGTCGGAGCGGAGACGCGAGCGGTGGAGGAGAAGAGGATGGAGGCGGAGGCGTCCGTGGAGTGGATGGAGGCCGCACGCAAGGCCGTGCAGGTACCGCGCGTTGACTCTGTGACCCCGTGACCTCCACCCTGCGTGGAGTCTGTGACTGTCTCCCCATGAGCACGACTCCGTAGATTCAAGTGAACTCTGTTAGGCTTGAGTCGGTGTGTAATAGCTGTGCAGAATATCACATTATTATGGCTGTGGGTGCTTGAGATGTAAATAAGAAAATGCAGCATCATTAGACCTCCTTTGGCGGTGCCAAAATATAATAATAGGGTTTTTTTTCCTTTTTTTTCTGGCAATAAAACTGGAACCTTTTTTTACAAGGTATCATGTTACTGCAATAACCACAATACTTGCGGTCAAAATGCAAACAAAAAACACACTATGATAATATGTGATGCATTGTCCTTGAAACCGATTGGTCCACACCAGAGACGGCTTTCTTTTTTTTGTTGACCACAAGTATTGTGGTTAATGCAGTAACATGATTTCTTGTAAAAAGGTTTCAGTTTTGTTGCCAGAAAAAAGGGGTAAACCCATATTCCCTTAAGAAAATACAACTTTCATAATAGAAATGTGATGTTTAGTACCACGGCAAACATTGAATAAAATAACTTAACTGATTTTCTGCGTATTCTTGGTTCTTTCGGTAAAGTCACGTAGAAGGGAAATAATAAAAGAATACAAATAAAACAATAAAATCCCCACGACGTTTCGATTGCAACACGAGCAATCATCATCAGGTGTGAAAACCACAGCAAGAAAATTAGAAAAAAATGTGTTGCTGTGGTTTTCACACCTGATGATGATTGCTTGTGTTGCAATCGAAACGTCGTGAGAATGTTATTGTTTTATTTTATTATTTTATTATTTCCCTTCTACGTGGTGACTTTACCGAAAGAACCAAGAATATGAATCCCTGCAGTCACGAAAGCTGTAAATCGAAATTTCATTTTATGCAGTTGAGAAAATAAAAGTGTATGGAGCAACGACTATATTTTAAAACTAGCAATTAATAAAACAAGAAAAGATTTCGGTACAATATGATAGGAAACCATAGCTATTGCATGCTCAGAAAAAAAAACCATGTAAGATGTGACTTGAAGAGACACTCCAGGAAAACAAAAATATGTTTACTTTCATGAAACACACAACTATACGGCAATAAATAAGCAAAGCATTTTCTTAAAACCTGTTTTAATTGCTTTGTAGTTACCATTCATTTCAAAATGTTGTTGATTGAGTTTTAATGTCATATATTTCGTTGGTAAGGATAATTCTGTAATTGCATCTGCTTTTGAGATTTATGCAAGGCAATGGCTCTGAGCTGGTGTTATCAATTGCATGGTTTTCCATTGTAACCAAATATACGACACACACGAGGGCATATCCCCATGTAGAAAACTAGACGCCTTTGAGCAGTGATGCTTGCGACGGAGACTTCGCATTCACTCTGCGAGCTTATCTCAAATACCGAAGTCCACCCATGAACAGCACGACAGCCACTGTCTGAAGCAGTCAGAACCAGGAGGATCTGGCTCTTCTGAACACATTGCATGGGTTGACACGTTGGCTGATCGCACAGGAAGCTCTGCGTGCGACCATTGATGACCTTCGTCGGGATAGGGGGTGGCCCAGGGTCAGGCCGAGGCTGACCTGGACGTGCGTGATAGAGGCCAAACTCAGGCATCGTGATCTAGGCGGCCAGTACTCTGTGTGGCGTGGAACCCTGTACAGGGTTGCTTGGCGATGTATCATGAGCACCGCTACGCCCTCCGCTGCTAATAATTGATTTGTATCCTCAATCAAGTCACCATGTGATAAGCGTAATTTACACCTTTTGTCAAACCAGTGTAACATTCTCCTCCTTTCGTATGGCTGATGTAGATGTCGAGCAACAGCTACAATTTAAACATTCAGGTGACACAAGCCAGATAATTGCGCCAGGGGCAATGGAAGATATTGCTGCGAGCTCTCCTTCGTGTTTGTGCATTGGCCATTGCGTCGTTATACGTTGCGTGGTCTGTTCTGGGTGACCGCAGTCGCATGCCGGAGAGTTGATCATTTTCCATTTGTGCATCAGGTATCCGCATCTGCCGCGATTTTTGTGGCGATGCGGTTTAGGGTGGGGAACATGAGCTTTGTTAGAAGCTCAAACGCAGAGATCTTCTGAATTGCTTGTGAGTCGAGTGTTACTACTTCTGGTCTACGCTGGTGCTCAGTAACTCGGCTACAGAGTGCACAAGGGCCATCCATCGTTGATGTCTGTAGCGCTGGGTGCTGACGCTCCCCAGCTTGTGCCTACGGTCCAGATTCACTCCGAGAGAGGTTGGAGTGGGGTCGTGTCACACGGTGTTGCTGCAGGAGGCCACTTTCAGAATGTGTTTGGGTATGGCGCTGACCATCACCTCCCTCTATGCTCTTGGGATGCATCCGGTGTTTATGGTTTTTGTGTACAGGTTTACCAGCCATTGGAGTCCCCTAGGTCCCATCTCTATGGGGGGCAGCCTTTCCTTTCTTCTTCATTGCAGCCAGACCCTTCCTCACTTCCTCTGCGCTGATGGCAGTGGGGTCTTGTGAAGAAATAGAGGACATTGTCTGGCATAGTTGGCGGTGGACATCTCGCTTGATGTTTGTTTTTTTTGTCAAGCAGTCCTTTTGTGTTCTCCACTAGTTTGGAGGCTCTAGAGTTGGGCACGACTCTTGCGGTCCGGTATTCTGTTGGATGAGCGGCATCTCGGCAAAGTAGTAGGCCCCAGCCACGGTGCCTGGAGTGTGTCAAGTCCGCGGCCTTCAACGCACTCAATCCACCGCTGGCATCTGGCTGAGTCTAGAGACTCTAGCAGGGCCCTTCCAACCTGTGGGCTGCCCGACTGGATGGTCGCACAGTTGGAGCGGGCCCTGGGTCTCTTTTGCCCAGCAGGGAGCGGATTCTTTCCGCAATCCTCGGAGGATGCTCTTCTTAGCGCGCTGCAGTAAGGAGGCCAACAAAACGGTGATAGCATTCCGGTATCATTGGAATTTCAACTCACCACTCTTTCTACAGCCTCCTTATAGCGGTGCCATTCAGCTCTGGCCAGGTTCCACTCTGGTAATCGTTTTGACAAAATCACGATGGTTTCGATGCCGATGTGGGTCATGATGGGCCCATGTTGGCTTTTGGGGAAGCTTGGGAGTATTTTTTCGGGGTGCGTGAAGTGTGCTCCCACTTTGATCATGAGAAACAATGGTGAGGTCCGGGTTGTAGCCGCGTTGCCGGCGAACAGAGTGGAAAGTTGCTTGCTGCTTGGGATCGAAAGCCAGGTGCGGATCTTCGGCAGACATCCAGTCAGCGAGGTGCAGACACATAGAATCGTGGCTGTTAAAGTTACGAACGTATAGGGCTGGGATTGGCGCACTTATAAATGCTGACTTTGGCCATTTTGAATTAGGGGCTTGTACACATTGGTGATATGCAGCTCCCCCTGTCTTGATGCTGGTGGTGTGGGTGGCTTCTTTTTCGGTTGGTGGAAAGGCATAGAACTCTGTTATGGTGGTCTTCACGTATATGGCCAAGCCATAGTTCGGGTGGTAGTGGCTCATCGTCAGGTTGTATCCATGGATGTGGTAGCGACTGGCAGTATAGGACATCCAAGAAGTGGGTTTCTTGGAGTGTCAGGACATCGACGTTGCTTGTGTTCATTATTGTTCACGAGATACTCGCAATTCGCCCGGGAGAGTCCCTCAATGTTCATTTGGAGGATCCTTGTCCCAGGGCTTATCTGGCGCATTGTTTGGCCCTGAACATGACCGTAGGCGTGGCTTTTATTGTTGCACTGAAAACTGGGAGTTCGGTGATCCATGTTAGGGCGCTTTCGTCGTGATTCCTCACTCAACAGATTGGGCCGCGTCAAAGCTGCCATCATCCACTTCAGTATAACATCGAGGTCTTGCCACAGCTGTTCGTTGAGCAGATTGTTTAACCATACTTTACCATATTGGTCCATGTGGGTTGGTGAAGGCAGCCCAGCATCCACTCACATATTACTTACCGCACAATTTGATGACCGCTACAACACCGCTACCTGGTGATAGGGCCATGAATATGAACTCACAGCATCCATCACACGCCCCTTGCAGGATTCTATGGTCCAGACCAAGGCTCGCATCTCAGGCGAGTTCACCCGCATGAGGGCGACGCTGGATGAGGACGAGAGGGCGGCTCTGGACCGCGTGGACGTGAAGGGGCACGAGCTGCTGTCCCAGATCGAGGAGAGCATCTCTCATTACCAGCGCGAGATCAGCGAGCTCCAGGCAGCAGCCACGTGCCTGCGTGCTCTGCAGGAGGAGAGGGACTCGCTCACGTTCCTGCAGGTAGAGCGCTCGCCGAGCCAGGACGAGTGCCCCGGTTCGCGTGTTCATTACATTAAAAAAAAAAAATAGAACACATGCGATGCAATACAAAGTTCAGAATATTTCAAACTTACATTAGAAATAAAATCTAATAATAAATAATAATTTAAAAAATGACTGCTGAATTTACGAAGAAAAAACCATTAACGACGAACTCAAACATCCCACGAGTTGATGGTTGGTAATTTGTGGTTGGAAATGTATGCCAACAAATGTAACCACGTGGCCTTTCAATGTACAGATTGAGGCTACTTGACACTAAATTTAAATTATTCACGTAAACAAATGTAGACGCGCCAATGGTAATGCTGAAAACGGAAGGGCTTTTAACATCAGGAAAGCCAGGGACATTAGTATTTCAGAATTGACTGCTGATGAGTCTAAGAAAGTTGAAACCAATCCAGAGATTGCCTGCTTCAACAAATGTTCACCCTGATAAACTATCGACACTGGTAACGCGACGCTCTGGGTATTATTCACCGTTGCAATGGAAATATTTGTGTATATTTGCATGTTGGTTAAATTCACTGTAACTCGATGTCGAGCGCCATGGACGCCTCTTCCCCGTGACATCGGGTACCGAGCGGCAACAGTTTCAGAGGCCACACCTTGCTGATGAGAACCATCGAGAGTCCGAACGAGTCCACGGCTTTGCCATGTTAACAACCGACAGCACTGGGATACGCCAATGGCTGAGCCCAGCCCAGCTCATCGCGCCTACCAATCACCGTGTGGTTAACGTGGCTAGAGGTGAACTGACTCGCGCCCCCTGTGTCTGACTCCTGCAGGTTCACCTTAAGGAGACAAACAGGTAAGGGACTCATGATGAACTCACACTGATGAACACACGAGGTGACGCCATGTGTGGGACATGGGCCACGTGATGGTGAGGATGATGATGATGATGGTGATGATGATGCTGCGTCATTCATAATACAGGTTTATTGTGTTGGATTGCCTAAATATAAACATCTCGTTAAACCTGCCACTACCCGCCACAGCGAATTAGTAAGGTTTGTCACGTAAAACAGAACATGCCAATTTGTTACTAGTGTAGTGTAGCACAAGTCGGAGACGAGGTAGTCGCAGGAGGCACCTTCTTCATTGTAAAATTCTTCCGGGTTCACACACAGGGTCGCCTCCTCCCTTCCCGTCCAGCCCGGCCGAGACATAACTCGCAAAACCTGTCCATCCAGTTCATCATGGAAGTGAAAGCTGACGGAACTTTCCCATTTCTGGATATTCTGTTCGGGTGCGGTCGAAATGTCGTTTACCAAAAGAAAATGTACACTGACGTCTATCTGCATGGAGAGTCACACCATCACCCCGCACAGAAATCCTCCGTTATTAAGACCCTCATACATCGGGCTAAGAAAGTGTCAGATGATGATAGTTGAGAAGAAATTAACCATGTTAAATAAGCTCTGCAATTGAATGGTTACAATGATGCACAAATCAACAGGGCACTGACTTCTAAAACCAAATCAAATAACACGAGCTTTGAAACTAAGTAATTAAAACTATTAAAATACGGTACATTGCGGGAATAACTGATAAAGTAGCCAGATGGTTGGAAACACAAAACATCCGAGTCAGATTTGGCACGGTACATAAAATACATACATTAATATCTGGTACATAAGATTTATTACCGAAGCTATCAACAGATGGTGTGTACAGGATTAACTGCACTTGTGGCAAATGCTATGTTGGGCAAACAGGACGAATGATCAGCATGAGACTAAAATAACATCAGATAAATATTAAATACTCCCAAATACAACTATCGACAGTGGCAGAACACGCGTGCCAACAAGTTAAGTGCAAAACTCGTTACTCCTGGCCAAGACTAATTAGATAATCTATCGAAATAAAATTAATTTTAACCGATCGGATAGCTACAAACTTAGTGCTGCTTGGAAGCGAATCATCAAATAATAAATTGTTTAAATGCATGCCTATACAGGCCACCACACTTCCATAGGGATTACCGTTGAACAATAGCAGGTCCGGCTATTTTAGTACACACATTCAACAGGGGGTACAAGAACAATGAGCTTGCATAATGTACATTGATTATATAACCCAACCAGCAATGGATAGCCATGGTCATTTATATGCATTCATTAACCCCCCTCCACCCCTCTTCACTTAAGAAGGGCTCACAAGTGATGCCATCACGTCTACCCCTCTATTTAAGGAATGGAAGAGGTGGATTTCGCCACAAATCTGGCTGTCGCCTGGCTTTGCGCTCCAACACACCGGTGTGCTGTACTCGTAACGAATTGCCATGTTCCGTTTACGTGACAAACCTCACTCATTTATTGTGTCGGGTGGTGGCGGATTTTCACGACACGTTTATATATTTACGCGATCTTACCAAGACAACTTCTATGGCGGATGATATTGCTTGTGGAAGCCTCCTACGTGTTATCCCGTGTCGTGATAGTCATACCTCGGTTAACGAAGTCGATGCGCTGCACGACGTCACTTATTTCTCGGAAACTTCGTTGCCAGAGTTGGATATGAACAGGGCGGAGTGATAGGGTGATGCATTTCTGAACTTCAGAGAAGGCGGGAGAGGTGGGGGATACAAAAGGACAACATTTTTTGCGCAGTAGCCTTCACTTTGTCCGTTTAACACGTAGGCTTTCGCGACCAATATTATTCATAATAAAGGTTTTTGGGTTAGATCGCGTTTATTTATAAATGTGTCGTAACCCTCCACCACCCGACACGGCCAATCAGCAAAAAAAGTGTCACGTTGACAAAAGACAAATAATTCACTACTTTAGCCCACCGGTGTGTTGAAGAGTTAATCCACATTTACAGTTTGAGTACGACGTTTCGCTGGTAAATACATCCAGCATCATCAAGCAATTCGCCAGAATGGTAAAGCCCTCGCTTGCTCCCGGTTTGTCCGCTTGCTTTAAAGTGGTCTTTCAAGGTGAACTCTGCTAACCCCGAACAAACACGCCTACTTCACTTTTCATCTCTCCCACCTCTACCGGTCTCGTGACCTGCATGTTTTGTTTCCAAAGAAATGGATTCACGCTGCACGCTTTTGCCCAGTAAGCCTACGAGCACTCACTCGGTGGTTGTTTGGATGACTTCAAGGGGGATGGCAAAATAACTTTTCACTGCAAAAAAAAAAACAACCCCCCACGATGCATTGCTTTTGTTCCCAACACGAGGAGCCTGAGCAATGGCGGGCACGAGAGGGAGACTCGCAAAGCTCTAAGCTGATTGGCTGCTGATAATGTAGAGCGAACAAACTCCACTCGGTCGTGCTTGCGGGGTACGGGCGCAGAGTTAAATGTCTTACCCTTTTCAATCGCTTCGCAAATACAGTCCGTTCTCTTGCAATACTAATTTTTGATGACGCGAATTGGATATGCCACAATCGAGTGAGCAGAACTCGGTCATGCGAGTAGGAACAAGCGGCTGTACGGCTGCCTCAGCGTAGCATCACGCAGGGCACTGGGATGCTTCTAGATGACACTCGTGCGACTCAGCCTTTGTCGAGGCCTGCGTACGCAAACTCACGTGTTATCGCGGACTGTGCTTTGCCCCTATATTATTATTATTATCATATATCATTTAGTATAACGCGGTTTTTCCATAACGCGGCATTCTTCAGGAACGCCGCGACTACAGCCACGTTATAGGAGAACACGACTGTGGTGCGACTTTCATCCGATGCAAACCGCTGGCAGCGTGCGCTGCAGTGTTTACTGCACAGTTGCATTAACATTGCGTCAATCGATTGAGGTCCGGCGAGGGTTAGGCTGAGGTGACCCCCGATGAGGACAGTTGAAGCAATTGGCGGGACCCCGGGGTCCCATCGCTGCCCAGGAGGTGGGAAAAACCGCGTAGCGACACGAGCCTTGTCGCCTTACCGACAACGACAAAACTCTAACGGTCAATCGATCGGCCTCGTCGAGAGCTACTCGGAGACACTTAAGTTTCGTAAAAAGTTGAAAAATTACACAAGCACGTTAAATTCGTCGCCTCGGGGGGCGGCGGCGGGGCTCGCCTTGGCAAAGAAGCCGAGGATCGACGGCTGACCGGAGGGCGTCGTCGTCGCCGCTCGCGACCGCGGCTGACGCCCCCCCAGGGCTCTCGTTTGGCCGGTGGGGTGGCGCCCGTCGTGTCGATCGCCGCCGCCTGCTGCTGCTGCTGGCGCTTGTTGGCGCGAGTCCGGGCGGGCGGCGCGTTGATGTCGGGATCGCGAGTGTGGGCGGACTGGAAAATAATAATAATTATTATTATTATTGACCCTGGGGGTCCCGCAAAAATGATTCAATTGCCGGCTGTTTAGTAGGATGATGCCAAGTGCACGATCGCCAATGTTACAATTCAGCCGAAGCCTGAAATGAAGGTCTTCATCTGATATTTATGTATTTATTCTAGAATTATCCGAGCTTCTAAAGGATATCCATCCACACACGACAGCCAAAGTGACGCGTTTCACTCGTAAATCATTAATTACTCCGCGTAAATTTTTTTGTGCTCAACCGGTAATATGCTTAACATTTCAAATTGCCTCTTCCAACATTTATTTGGTGAAAAATGATCTCACGCAGACGAGTCGACCCAACAAAAACGAAATGAATTCACCGCATTTTGGAAACCCGGGGTCAACCGCCGTCATATTTTGAGGCCACTGTTACAGTGGCCTCAAAATACAAGATAAGGAAATTAAGAAAGCGCACACACAAACAACGATCCCTCCCCCCCCACGTGTAGCCGATGCACTGCACAGCACCACGCCCTTCCCGTTTTTGGTTAGCCAGGTCACTCGTTTTTTCAGTTTCATTTATTTTGGTATAGCCCTGTGAGCCATTCGGCTCTTGAATCGGGTGCAACTGCAACAAACAAAAAAACAAAAACATGAACAAGAAAAACATCTTAAAGTGACTTCGTGTTGACTGTGCAAACAGAAAATCCAGGAAAAAAAACATCAAAATATTCCTGAAAGAGCACCATGCACCAACGGTGTGTGCAAAAATCCCAGTGGGATGCAAGTCAAACAACAACAACAACCACAAGACAACTTAGATTAAGGCCATCAGTCTAACTCCGTACTACAACAACAACCACAAGACAACTTAGATTAAGGCCATCAGTCTAACTACGTACTACAACAACAACCACAAGAAAACTTAGAATAAGGCCGTCAGTCTAACTCCGTACTACAACAACAACCACAAGACAACTTAGATTAAAGTCATCAGTCTAACTCCGTACTACAACAACCACAAGACAACTTAGAATAAGGCCATCAGTCTAACTCCGTACTACAACAACAACCACAGGAATACTTAGATTAAGGCCATCAGTCTAACTCCGTACTACAACAAACAAACATGGCCAAACCAAAAAACGTTTTCGAAATCACCAAAATAAAGCCATAAAAGCAATGTAACGGTGATCCTAAGAACTGTGACGGAATTTTCACAATAAACGACATAAACAACACGCAACACCAAACCCTAGAGCCATAGCTGGCTGCATGAGTCACTCCACAACAACAGTGCGTTGAGTGTGGGTAAAGTCGGGTGAGCGGCGAGGAAACTCTTCACCTGAAGGCGACTCATCAATAGGGGTTGGTCCGTCTTTAATTTTGGGCAAGCCACCTTAACAAGTTTCCACACGGTCGTGCAACTTGTGAACATCAAGTTACTCAAAACGTGCAACATACACAGGTGCGTACACTCGCACCTGTGTTCTAGCTCATTCCCAAACACACTGGGTTGCAGAACTAGTAACGAATTATATCCTTAGCTCTTTCGGTAAAGCCACGTTGAAGGGAAACAATAAAATAATAAAGTATATATATAAAACAATAAAAAAATATTTTATTATTTTATTGTTTGCCTTCAACGTGACTTTACCGAAAGAGCTAAGAATATGAATTACTGCAGTCACGAAAGCTTTAAATCAAAAATAGTAACGAATTGTCATGTTTTGTTTTACTAATTTCGGATGGTGGTGGGCTTAAAGATACATTTATTATATTCACCTGATCTAATCCAGACAACCTGTTATAGATAATATTGGTCGTGAAAGCTTACTACGTGTTAAACACACACACACTCACTCTTAGATAAGGTAACCTTAGCCACTGCTGGCCATTAAGGGCTACTTTGCCTATCCTTCAGGATATGGGGATATTCCCATTATCGACCAAGGCATGGCGAGTGCCGCAGGATTTCACACTTTTGCGAGCAAGTCCTTGGGTTGCGGAAGACCCGACTTGCGGAAATCCGACTTTACAGAAATGCTCCCATAAATTATGTAAAAAAAACAAAAAAATATGCGGAATTTTTTGCGTTAGCTACGTAAGCGCAAATGGTTCAACGCTGGTGAGGTTTGCGGATGTATACCGAGGCGCCAGGCGTAATCCCCGCCTTATGCCTCGCTTCATGAAAACGCTGCCTTCACCAAGCACTAGGATTAAGGTAAATGGATTTTTTTTTTGCAGCGTTAGATTTTATTTTATTTCCTTTGTAGCATTACGTAATTGTTTATTTTCTAGGCTTAAAACTATTTATTTTTTTCCTCCCGTGTTTTTTAATGTATAGTTTTCTTCATGCTAAGTTGATTTTCTTGAGTTATTCAGGGTACGCACTTTATTTTTAACACAATTACACTTCGATTGCATATGGTCTCAGCCAACAGCGATCGGATAAGTCTCGGCCGAGCTTAATGCACGGTAAATGAACATTCGGAAGTGGCTGCTTTCTGTTAACAATCAACATTAAAATGTTTCGTGGCATCCATAAACAATTGGATAGAGCGTATGTTACATTAGTTTCATTATGGGCAGTGTTAGCGTAGATATTCGATGAAATGAAAGAGTCATAGGAAGTGCAGGGCGTATGTACAGCGATACGGTACAGGTAGTGAAACATAATGGACGTCAGCACGATGCAGTACTGACGGTATTCGAATTGGTAATCTGGTTAGGGCAGGCACAGCTAGTTCCGGCTATGATTTTATCTTGATTTCGGGGGGAAAATTATTCAGTGTCCAACGTACGGAAAATTCGCGTTACGGATCAATCTCGAGAACCTAACCCTTCCGTGAACCGAGGACTGCCTGTGTTATGGAAGACGTTGGCTGAGTGATGATGCTGAGCGAGACGCTGGTTGCGTGTTATGATGCTGTGTTTTATGATGTGTGTGTGTGTGTGAGGATACTGTGCATGATGATGCTGTGTGTTATGATGCTGTGTTTTATGATGTGTGTGTGTGTGAGGATACTGTGCATGATGATGCTGTGTGTTATGATGCTGTGTTTTATGATGTGTGTGTGTGAGGATACTGTGCATGATGATGCTGTGTTTTATGATGCTGTGTTTTATGATGTGTGTGTGTGTGAGGATACTGTGCATGATGATGCTGCGTGTTATGATGCTGTGTTTTATGATGTGTGTGTGTGTGAGGATACTGTGCATGATGATGCTGCGTGTTATGATGCTGTGTTTTATGATGTGTGTGTGTGTGAGGATACTGTGCATGATGATGCTGTGTGTTATGATGCTGTGTTTTATGATGTGTGTGTGTGTGAGGATACTGTGCATGATGATGCTGCGTGTTATGATGCTGTGTTTTATGATGTGTGTGTGTGTGAGGATACTGTGCATGATGATGCTGCGTGTTATGATGCTGTGTTTTATGATGTGTGTGTGTGTGAGGATACTGTGCATGATTATGCTGTGTGTAATGATGCTGTATGCGATACTGCTGTAATTCATATGCTTAGTTCTTTCGGTAAAGTCACGTTGAAGGGAAACAATAAAATAATAAAGTAATATTATATATATTATTTAATTATCATATTCTTAGTTCTTTCGGTAAAGTCACGTTGAAGGGAAACAATAAAATAATAAAATATATATTTAATATATATTATTTTATTATCATATCCTTAGTTCTTTCGGTAAAGTCACGTTGAAGGGAAACAATAAAATAAAATAATAAAATATATTATATATTATTAAAATAAAAAAATATATTATATATTATTTTATTATTTTATTGTTTCCCTTCAACGTGACTTTACCGAAAGAACTAAGCATATGAATTACTGCAGTCACGAAAGCTTTCAATCAAAATTTGAAACTGCTGTGTTAAGATGATGATGCTGTGTAAGACGCTGGCTGTGTGGGTCACTGCTGGTTCTGGTCTCACAGGATAGATGCTTGGAAGGAAGCTGCACACTCATTTCCCAGCGAAGAAGACATTGAAGTGATCGACACTCTGCAGGGAGCTGTGGTCAGACTGCTGGCGTTCATGTGTGAGTTCCACGGAATCTTGCCGTGTGTGCGTGTCTGTTATTCTGTATTTGTGCTTGCACATGTATTGGTCTTTGCTTTTGCAATTGCAATTGCGAGAGTGGAGAGGTTTACGATCTTGGGCAGCGTGCCTATGACCAGCTCCAGTTTGGCCGCTGAGGTCTCACTCCGAATCAGTCGAGCGGTATTATCTTTTCATAAGCTGTGTATTGCTGCGTGGAAGCCACCTGGTCTGTCACTCCACATGAAGCTTTGGGTCTTCTCGGTCACAGTTGAACCCTCTAAATCAATATCTGCGCCGGTTTGAACATTCAGGCTGGCCTGCGTACGATCCATTTTGGAATTAACCAGACTGGATTGTGTGATAATTGTTTTTTACCCTTTTATCTGGCAACAAAACTGACACCTTTATTTTACAAGGAGTCGTGTTTACATTTACCACAATACCTGCGGTCGGAACGCAAACAAAAAAACAACAACTCTGATAATGTATTGGTACTGTCCTTGAAATTGATTGGTCCACACCCGAGACGGCTTTCTTTAGAGCCTCGTCTCACATGGTGTTGGACCAGAAGACGCCAAAAGGCACACAGTATGCATTGTCCTTGAAATTGATTGGACCAATCAATTTCAAGGACAGTGCCAATACATTATCAGAGTTGTTGTTTTTTGTTTGCGTTCCGACCGCAGGTATTGTGGTCAATGTAAACATGACTCCTTATAAAATAAAGGTGTCAGTTTTGTTGCCAGATAAAAGGGTAAAAAAACAATTATCATATTTTGTTACTGGCAAATGAGGTTTCCAATGGTTTGTGTGAGTTTACAGATCGTTGTAGATCTGGACACAGTCCCATCAGTGAGCTCTTCCGGTAAGCAAGGCTGCACTGCCCAAATAGCTTCTCTTCAGTCTGGCAGATGGGCTGAAACGGCCACAGCAATGGAGGGCAGAGGAGTGACGCTCACAACAACGAGTGGAGCGCCAGGTAGCTAAAACGCAGAAAAATGCCCCAATGGGGAGCATAGTTGGTGCACCTCCCAGTCATCTCGGTAAGTCAACCCATGGGCCTTCACGTGGCCTCAAAGTGCACCTAGCATGGCACAAGTGCCGTGGTGACGTCACCGCCACTTACTGGTGAACGGCGGTTGTTGTAGTTGTGTCTTTGTGCGTGTGTAGAGTTTATAATGACGAATAAACGTCTTATGAGGCACACTCTGTTTATTGTAATACTTCTCTTTGCACAGTCCTTAACACACAGAGGGGTATACGGTCCCCTCACCGGATACCCTAAGAAGGTACAGCCTCCGGACTTAGCATGACCTACACACAGGTCTCTTTGCTAACCTAAGCAGGTACAGCCTCCTATCTTGGCGGGACTTACTTATGCGTCTACCGCTATCCTAGCCTAGAGTCCTCTGGTTGGGACCTAGGGGAGGCTATCTGACCCACCGCTGGCCCGGTGGGTCTTGACCACTGGATGCGCCGAGCCTTAGCCCTGAGAAGGGCTGGAAGGCTGGGTCCAGGGTCCTGGCTATCTTCAACCCGGGCTTCGGTCTTCGTGTAGGGAGAGAACTCCCCGTGCTCTGCGTGGTCACCCTTCCTTTACTCGTTCGTGGCCAGGTGTAACCAATCACACATTCCCACGTGGAACTGTCTGATTGGTTCTTACCAAACTGTGGCTACCATCCACTTCACTTCGTCTGACGCCAACCGTTATGTACACAGAGGTAACGCTGCATTGCCCCTTTGATACCTAGTGGCAATGCAGGTTACCGAACAGTGAGTAGTTAACACCTCTACACGTGTATGGATAAGTGGGAGTGTGTATGTGGGCAGCGGTAGTCTAGCAGTTATCGCGCTGCGCTATGAACCCACCCACTCAAGTTCAATCCTGCTCATGGCATAGAGACCTCATCAAGCAGTGTATTGACAAAGTGCTGTACATGGTATCACACTGGTAGTTACGTACAGGCATACCCCATTTAGCGTGGGGGGTGCGTGCCTGGAAACGAGAGCGCTAGGTGAATCAGCGCTATACGGGGTCATTATAGCATAGGCCCTATGGAGATGCGTTCTCGACATCATAATTTATAATGTACGACCAACATATTAGGGGTTCATTAGGTTATTGGAACAATAATACAAATGATAAACATTATTTATCAATACCGACGGTACAAAAATGTAAGTAAGATAAACAGTGTACTCATCAGTACATAGTGTGACCGGATATGGTGAACTTGGCAGCATTGGGAGACAAGGTGGGAGCTACAACTTGCGCCTGGTGGTTCAGTCAAGTCTATGACCAGACACCCCCCTCTCCCCTTCTGTGAGTGGTGCAGTCCAATCTGTGACTTGACGCCCTCATTTTTAGTGGAAAGCGCTCATTGGTGGAGAGTGAACGCCGTGCCAACTCAAGCATGATGATAGCGCTCGTTCATTGGCTGAGGGCAGAGATCCTAAATGGGCGCTAACCCTGTACAGTATTGGGATGAGAGCGTACACTGCTATAAAGTACGGCTTTTCATCCTTGTGTAATATTTTTAGATATACTGTACACAAATAACTATTTAAACAAATATTTTACCGGGAACAGCCCTATAACGAATCAGCGCTGTACGAGGTAGCGCTAAACGTGTTATGCCTGTATTATATTATGAGTTTACGTGTTATAATATACGTGCATGTTAATGCATGAGTGTTATTGTTACAGTTCTGCTATTACACAGATACTGTTATTATCGTTACAACAGATGGACGCTCACCGACTCTGGACCCAAACTCAGCCCATGACGAACTCCAGACCTCCGCGGATCTCAGGACGGTGACGTGGATCGGTGTCGCCCAGGGTCGCTCCGTTCACCCACAACAGTTTGATCGCTATTACCAAGCCCTGTGCTCCGAGAGCTTCTCGTCGGGTCAACACTACTGGGAGGTGGACGTGGGGGCCGTGGGGGAGTGTCGGGTTGGAGTCGCGTACGGGACGATCGCGCGGAAAGGTTATGGCGATGAGTGCGAGCTGGGACAAAATTACTCCTCCTGGGTTTTATATAAAAATGACAACATCTGCTGCATGGTTCATGGTGGTGTCGGCACCTCACTGCCGGTGAGAGATCCTCCCCGGAGAGTCGGGTGTCACCTGCACTGGGAGGCGGGGCTGCTGTCGTTTTACTGTGCCGACTCCATGGAGCTGCTGCACTCCATCCACCACTCGTTTAGTCAGCCGCTCTACCCCGCGCTGGGTGTGTGGGGTGATGCCGGCGACTCAGTGAGGATTCTGGATCTGAGTCGTGCGTCCTGAGAGCACGGAGCGTCAGCAGCGCAGACAACAGGCCCAAACGCACAGACTCGTGCACACAAATGCAGCGGCATCGTTGAACGTTGAGTGGAACTGCCGCTGTAGTGACGGCCTCGAGCCAACAGGGAGCAGAAGGGAAGCCGAGATGGAGATGAGTGAGGCCGTTAGGCCAAGGTAAACCCCAGTGTAGCTCGGGACCAGGGGTACAGACCCCAGACTTCCCAAGAGGGGTGCTGGGGGACAACGTCACGCTCCAGGCCCCTCCACACGGTTCCAGAAGGGGGGAGTGGCTAGGGGCGGAGTGAGCCAGAAACCGGTATCAAAGCCGGTCCCCTGAACGGGACTGGCAGTCATCGTTTACCTGAAGACCGAAGAGCCACCCCAGATACCTGGAGCTGCCACCTGGAAGACCCGAAGCGAAGAGCCCAAAGGGCAGAAGCAGAACCCCTGGCTAGGGTCGGGACAAAAGTTTAACCAGTGTAGGGTCAGAGTTTAACCAGTGTAGGGTCAGACCTTAACCAGGGTAGGGTCAGAGTTTAACCAGGGTAGGGTCAGAGTTTAACCAGGGTAGGGTCAGAGTTTAACCAGTGTAGGGTCAGAGCGTGACCAGTGTGAGGGTCAGAATAGTCTGGAGGAAATACCTCCTTAGGGTATCGGGTGGACGGGGCCGTACCCCTTTTGTGTGTTGTAAATTTAAAATAAACGTGCTACCTCCGGAGGAGAGAAGTCTCCTCAAGTTTTGTACCCACTACACAGACATAATACAAATACCCCCCCCCCCCAACCCCCCCCAGATCGCCGTCAACAAACTGTTGGGGCAAGTTGCGTCAGTGAGCACTGCAAGTTTGGCCGATCTACTGGCTCAGGTGGAGGGGTGAGCTCTAGTTAGGGGAGCTGTGTATAATATGGGTGACACGGGATGGCTCCAGAGACTCAGCGGTGGGGGTCCAGGATTCTGTGAGTTCTGAAAGCCACTCCCACGAGCGTTAATACGGTGAATGCGTCATCACGAGAGCACCGGCAGTAGTGAGGCAGCGAGGGTTTTGTCGATCAACTACAGCAATGCTCTTTTCCCGTGGGCGTTGAGGTGCCATAACCTGGCTCACAAGGAGAAAGTGGTATCGCAAAAAGAATGTGAACTCCGCCTATCCCTTCTACATGGGACAGAGTGATGCCCCTTTGCACACAAACGTGGGCTTCTATGGGCGCTCCGGTTTCCTCCCACTTGTAAGTACACTAATGCCGTAATATACGTGTGTTATAAATGACTTCCACGTCAATTCTTGTAAGGGGTGCTTCTTTCTTACTCTTTGGCAGCGCTGTCCTCCAGACAGTCTCGTCCCTTCACCTGATGAAGGCCGCTTGTGTTGTGGCCCGAAACGTCGTGCGAATTTTATCGTGTTATTTTATTTTATCAATTTTTTTATTTTATTCTCATTCTACGTGGTGGTGACTTTACCGAAAGAACCAAAGAAGATGTTACAGCAGTTTAGATTCAACGTTATCTAGCGGTGACCCCAATTGGGTATATATAGGGGGTACGTTCTCCCTCCCATACATCCTGTACACAGCAAGCACGCTCGGCACATGTAAATCCCAATCAGCTTGTTTGGCGTATACCGTCTGACAGAGCATGGCGGACAAGCTCCTGTTCAGGCGTTCAACCATCCCATCCTTCTGAGGGTGGTGCTGCGACGTTCTGATTCTCTTAGTGCCCAATGCGTCGCAGAACCTCGCGCGATGATTTAGAGGAGAAGTTCCGACCTTGGCCTGTAGGCAGCTGTTCGGGAGCACCTTTGTCCATCGCGTAGCCGTTCAAAAACGCATCGGCAATGGAGGCCGCCGACTGATCCGGCAGCAGCCAAGCCATCAGCCGTCAAGAAAAATATTCCACTCCCACCAAAAGGAATTTTTATTACCCCTAGAAGTGTCCGGAAAAGGGCCAAGGACATCGATACGCGAAACCGAAATAGATTGAAGTGGCGCATGACACTTCCGCTGCGGCGGTTTCCTTTGCGCACATTCTGTACAACATCGAGATCCATTTGGAGACATGGGCTGTCATCCCCAGCCAATAATAATAATAATCACGCTGCAATGTCAACAAGGATTTTTTTGGACGCCGAGGTGCAACAACTTCTCCTCGTGCAGCGCTCGAACCAAGCTGTCCCGGAGGGCCATGGGAACAACAGCTCGCCAGCGATGCAGCATTTCCTCTCTCCACATCAAAAGGCCATCGTGAAGAATCGACCGTCCCCCTTCACTCGACGCCGCAAGCTTCCTAAGGAGTCATCCAGCAGCGGCTCTTGCACCCGCATGGAGCGCGGAAGCTGCGATGCGCTGTCAGCTGACGCATTCGTCCGCGGAGGTTTCGAACCGGCTATCGCGGACATGACGGCACGTGGCTGTGACACGACGGGTCCACAACGGCTCATCCCAGACAAACACGGGCAGCAAGGCGACTGTGGCAATCGCGACAAAGCATCCGCATTGCAATGTCGAGTACCCATACGATACACCACACTGAAAGAGAACTCCTGCAAGATTTCGAGCCAACGAGAGAGTTGGCCAGCAGGCTGCCTTGACTTTCAAGGAATATTGGAGGGCCGCATGATCAGTATGGACAACAAATTCCTTGCCATAGAGATAATGCCCATATTGCCGAACAAAATGAACAATGGCCAAAAGTTCCCTCCCGGCAACACAATAACGACGTTCTGCCGGGGTAAGGACACAGCTGCCGTACGCGACCACCTTTTCAACACCGTTTTTAACTTGAGATAGGACGGCGCCGATCCCCGTATCGCTAGCATCGGTGTCAAGGATAAATGGCAGTGAAAAATCGGGAATAATAGAGCGTGGGCGCATCAGACAACCATTCACGGAGGTTCCAAAACACAGCCTCTTCCTCCGGACCCCATTTGAATCTCTGATTTTGAACAGTTAACGCGTGCAAGGGTTTAGCGACCATGGCGAAATGCGGCACAAACTTACGGTAATATATAATCCGACGAAACTGCTCACATCACCCACACATGCCGGGGCCGGCCAATCGCGAACACAGGCCGTTTTCTCCGGGTCCATGGCAATGCCCTCAGAGCTGACAATGTGACCCAAATAACGCGCAGAATTCTGCAGCAAGTGACATTTAGCCGGTTTAAACTTCACATTGGCAGAGCGCATTCTACCAAAAAATGGAGCGCAGACGCCGGAGATGTTCGTCTGAATACAATAACATCGTCTAAGTAAATGAGACAAGTGTCCCACTGCAGGTCGGAGGGGCAGCCGAAGTCGGAGATCGAGGGCGACTCCGGCATTCCCTCGCAAAGTGCCCCAGCCAGTAGCAGGTAAAGAGCGGCCTTCGTGCCCCCCCCCCTCTCCCCGGTCTTCATGCTGACGTGGTCTCTCGTTCCATTCGGCGACGTGCGGCGTTCGCCCCGTCTTCGAATCCACTACAGGAACCGCAGCAGCGGCGGAATCACCTTCGGAAGACGTATCACCGGGCGGAATCTCGACGACTTTAGTCTGCCGTCCGCGCCGCCATTTGAGACCATCGCTGCGGGCTTTCGCGTGGTGAAGGGCTTGAGGGGTGATGTCATCCCCCAGCCCCCCTGCTGGGGTCTGGGGTATGCATCTCGGTTACCGTTGGGCCCCCGTGGCCCATAGTCCTTTAACACTGGGGCTCAGCTCCTCTTCCGCCCCCTATTGGCACGGATGAGATACCACCGGCAAACGGCACGGGAAAGTGAACAATAATACCTCGACACACGTAACGGCATCGAGATAGAATCAGAATTTGCATTTTTACCGGGGGACTCCGATGAGCCATGAAGCTCCGTTTCACAGATATCCAGTATGGGGCTGGTAGGAACGTTGTTGTGAGCGGAGCGCCGGGCGTGTAAAATGCAATGGGTTGGCACATGGGGTGGGGGGTTGGCACAGTTGGGGGGTACAGCTGGTGGTGCATCTACCGATCATCTCAGTCAGCCATCCCATGGCACCCGATGAGTCTCTCCCGTGACCTCTTGCCAGCGAGCCTTCGACACTTCACGTGGCCCTCAAAGTGCGCCTAGCCTGGCACAGGCGCCGTCACTTGGTGGCTAATAGTGGGGATTGGTATTGGTAAGAACGTTGCACAGAGACAGACAGGGATGATAGGACACGTGCCTTGGTCATGCATTTCATTGCAACTCCAATGCTGGACAATTTGAAAGCGAATTTCTTTAGAACTGTTTTTTTTTTTGTGTGTGTGTGTTTAGTGTTGTTGCCCTTCCCCCGCACCTCCGATGAGCACGGCTGGCTACGTACGGTGAGAAAGAAGTCCAGCATACATACAGGCCAAGTGTAGTACATTTCTGTCACGTCACCTTGTTAATCCACCACAGGATGGATGAGGGCCTCCTCCTTGGGTGTTGTTTGACCATACTTCGCCGCGCTGGTCGGTGCGGGTTGGTGCTTTTAAGGAGGGCTCTAAGGATGAGTGTCGATCTTAGTCGCCACTGCCGTGAGTTTGGTCGTCTGTGGGAATCAAATTCGGGGTCATCGGGTTCATTGGCAAGCTACGCCGCTAACCATTGCGCCACCGCTCCACCCAGCCACCTCCGTCACAACACACGATGCTGTGTTCAGAAGTGAAATGTTAAATAGAATAAAGAACGGTAAGATGGGATGTTAACTACCTCCCCTGGTGGCAGGAGGTCGTGGGTTCGATCCCGACCCTCCCCACCCTGTGAGATGTTAACTACCTCGCCTGGTATGCAGGAGGTCGTGGGTTCGATCCCGACCCTGCGAGACCCTGTGAGATGTTAACTACCTCGCCTGGTATGCAGGAGGTCGTGGGTTCGATTCCGACCCTGTGAGATGTTAACTACCTCGCCTGCTATGCAGGAGGTCGTGGGTTCGATCCCGACCCTGTGAGATGTTAACTACCTCGCCTGGTATGCAGGAGGCTGTGGGTTCGATCCGGACCCTGTGAGATGTTAGCTACCTCGCCTGCTATGCAGGAGGTCGTGGGTTCGAATCCGACCCTTACAGTGCCTGCTGCTGTATATTTGGAATTTGCGTCTCTCTCTGTCTCTCCCACACCCGTGGTCATGTGGATTTTTCTCCGGGTCCTCCGGTTTTTCCCTCCACATTTAGAATCAACGTCACGCGTTTAGAGTATTCGGCTACATTTCCACTCGATAAGCCACTTTGTTGAGCTATCATTTGTGGCCAGTCGCTTCTGAAACATAGCTATACAGCTCAGTTGGGCATTGCCTGGTAAAATTAAAAAAAAATCATTTTAAAATTTAGTTTATAGTTTGAATTCTTTTTCAGGGATTTCTGCAGAAAAAAACGAACGTCAACATCTTAGCTCTCTCTCTCTCTCTCCCCGGGTGTTTATTCATCATCGGCGTCTTGGATTTTCCCCGAACGCCATCGCGCCAAGCCAGCACCCGTGTGATCTTGGGACCAAGTTTTAAATTGGTACAAATCCCCGCTGGATAACGGTCGGGATGGCCTCAGCTCCAATCACGACGATTACACAAACCTCTACTCACACTCGCCCTCCCCCCCCCCCAACTACCCCCCCCCCCCCAATAAGCAACAATTGATGTTTGCACTTGATTTGGGCAACCCGCAGCTCTGGTGGTACAAACATTGTGACGATACAACGCTCGGGAAATCGACATTCGCTTGTTGTGCAACTTCACGCGGATGCGCTGCGAAGATTGATCTCTCTCTCTCTGATCTTCTTCGTCTCCGTCCACCAAAGGCGAATGTCCTTCCAGTGTCGAGCACATTTCAGTGCCCATCACTGGCCGCACGCCGCGAGGTCTCGCGCAGCGCAGGTGGGGCGGGGAGGCCTCCCCTTCGAGCGAGAGCTCTCTCCTCCTGGTCCGCCTCTCGCGGCGATGGTTGCTGGAGCAGCTTGGCACGCTCCCTTGACGCGTACTCGGGCTGCACCTCGTTCCGTTGGGTAACGACGGCCTTTCCAGTCGCTGAAAGTTCAGCCGAGTTCCTCAAGAAGCGCAAATTCCTTAAGAAGCTCCCGAACGTGTGCAGCGAAACGTCGGACAGCTTTGCCGAACGGCGCAGATTTTCGGCAGGAGCTCGCTGGGAATTTTTTTTTTGTCGGGAAGCGAGCTTCTTTTTCGGTGAACGAAAGTTTACGAACTGAAGAGGCTCCCAGCATGTGCAGCGAAACGTCGGGCATCGTGCCTAGTAGCACGCGATTACAACCCGAGTGCACATCGGAGCTACAGTAAGCGCTTGAACCTGCCGTTGTAAGTGCACC